AGGCGGAGGAGGAGGAGGAGGAAGCGGAGGAGGAGGAGGAGGAGGAGGAGGAGGAGGAGGAGGGGGAGGAGGAGTGAGGAGTGCGTGCGCCTATTTTTTGTTGTTATTTGTTCCTTGTTCGCTCTGTCTCTCACACACTTTTTTGTCTCTCTCTCCCTCTCTCATTCGCTCATTCACTCACGACCTCACTCACGACTCCCTCACTTACTCGCTTGCTCGCTCTCTCTCTCTTGTTCTCTCTCTATCTCTCTATCTCTCCCTCTCTTTGTTTGTTGACTCTCTCTCTCTCCCTCCCCCTCCCTCTCTCGCTCGCTCACTCACTCCATCGCTCGCTCTTCCTTTCTTGCCCTCTCCCCACATGCCCCTTCTCCATCCCCAGCCCAGCCTTTTTGCGTGCTTCTTGTTTGTCTCCGTTTTTCCCAATACCTCGCTCCCTTTCTCTCTCTCTCTCTCTCGCTCCCTGTCTCTCGGGCGCCTCAGGCCAACCGCCGCCCGCTCGGCAGGTCTCGTCTCCGTCGCCCGCTCGGCGGCGGCGGCGCCGCCGCCGCCGCTGGCCGCGCTGGCGTTGCCTCGCCGACTCCGCGCGCCTCGGCTCGACAAGCGGCCAGCTGATGCCGCCCGCGGCTGGCGTTCGCGGGCTCGGCTCGGGGCCTCCAGGATGCTGATGATGAGGATGATGATGCTGATGATGACGATGACGATGACGATGACGATGATGATGCTGATGCTGATGCTGATGCTGATGCTGATGACGATGCTGCTGATGATGATGATGCTGACGCTGATGACGATGCTGCTGATGCTGCTGCTGCTGCTGCTGCTGCTGCTGATGATGATGATGATGATGATGATGATGATGATGATGATGTGGAGGAGGAGGAGGAGGAGGAGGAGGAGGGGGATGGTAAAGAGGGAGGGAAAGAGGACGGGCGGGGTGGACAGAGGGAGAGAGGACGGACGAGGATGAGGACGAGGATACTGATGCTGATGCTGATGCTGATGACGATGCTGATGCTGATGATGCTGCTGCTGATGATGATGCTGATGCTGATGCCCATGCTGATGCTGATGATGAGGATGAGCATGACGATGACGATGACGATGACGATGACGATGACGATGAGGATGAGGATGATGATGATGATGATGATGATGATGATGATGATGATGATGATGATGATGATGATGATGATGATGATGGTGGTGATGATGATGATTATGATGGTGGTGGTGGTGCTGATGATGATGCTGATGATGATGATGGTGGTGATGATGACGAGGAGGAGGAGGAGGAGGAGTAGGAGTATGGGGATGCTAAAGGGGGAGGGAAAGAGGACGATGGAGGGAGGGAGAGAGATAGGACGAGGACGATGACGAGGACGAGGAGGAGGATGAGGATGAGGATGAGGAAGGGGATGATGATGAGGATGAGGATGAGGATGATGATGCTGCTGCTGATGATGCTGATGCTGATGCTGATGCTGATGATGATGATGATGATGATGATGATGATGATGATGGTGGTGATGATGGTGATGATGCTGCTGATGATGATGATGATGGTGAAGATGTTGCTGATGATGACGCTTCTGATGATGAGGATGTTGATGTTGATGATGTTGATGATGATGATGCTGCTGATGATGATGATGCTGCTGATGCTGATTATGATGATGATGATGATGCTGCTGATGATGATGATGCTGACGATGATGATGATGATGATGATGATGATGATGATGATGATGATGATGAGGACGATGATGATGCTGATGATTATGCTGCTGATGATGCTTGTGATGCTGATGATGATGATGATGATGATGATGATGATGATGATGATGCTGATGCTGATGCTGATTATGATGATGATGACGATACTGATGATGATGCTGATGCGGATGATGTTGATGATGCTGCTGATGATGATGCTGACGCTGCTGCTGCTGATGATGCTGATGTTGATGATGATGTTGATGATGATGATGATGCTGATGATGATGACGATGACAATGATGATGATGCTGATGAGGATGATGATGATGCTGATGCTGATGCTGATGCTGATGATGATGATGATGCTGATGCTGCAGATGATGATGATGATGATGATGATGATGATGATGATGATGATGATGATGATGCTGATGATGATGATGATGATGATGGTGGTGGTGGTGGTGGTGGTGGTCATGATGATTCTGATGATGACGATGATGATGATGCTGATGCTCATCATGATGATGGTGATGATGATGAT